TTTTTTATATTTAAAAATTCATCGTTTTCAGATATTTAGTTATTCTTTTGAAATGACATTTTGCTCTTTAGAAGTAAAACGTGATGCTTTCAAAAGAACAAGTTTTTCAAAGAGAGAATCTCCCATTTTTCTTCTGTGAGGTCTCATAATTAATCCTCTATACGAGAAAAGGCGTTCTATTGGCGCTCATAGAGCTTATAGATATGGAGTGGGAATAGCAGCGACGAGCTGTGAGCAAGATCTGAAAGACAGAAGATATACTTCTATCCTGCTCATGTACCGTTTTTCTTTCTGCGCATGTGCTTGCGCAAGTGCCAAGTGATATACGAGATTTGTTTTAGTTCCTGAAAATAACCTGTAAAGTAGCAGCCAATGCAAGGAAATAAAACAAACTAACAGTATTTTTTAATAGAATTAAATAAAAAAATGGGTTGAGTGAAAAAATTATAAAGAAAAATAATCATCTTATTTTTGTAAAAACAAATATCAAAGATTTCTTGATGCTAAAAGTTTTTAACGCTGTGATTAATCATAGTTTCACGCACGATTCTATGTTCAAACATATGAAAAACTAAGATATCTTTGACAACGATAGGATAAAATTAATAAACTNTATTATTGAAACATATGTTCAAATACATTTATATCACGAAGCTAAATTCTCAAGACGCTGGAAAAACACAATACATACGTCACGAATATTCAAAACTAATACAGTTTTATCATCAATAAAATATATATTCAGTATAATATGTATTTTATTGATGATAAAAATGTATCAGTTTTGAATTGTATTAGTTTTGAAGTATAATATAATATATGTTAAAGTAATATATGTTAAAGTATAATATATGTTAAATATATATAATACATTTGTTAAAATATAAGAGACTATAATATACTTGTGTTTTTTTAAAGTATAATATATTTTTTTAAAGTATAATATATTTTTCTTTTATTTGAACCTATTTTTTTATTTCATTCTATTAAAAAATACCGTTAGTTTGTCTTATTTCTTTGCACTGGCTGCTACTTTACAGGTTATTTCAGGAAATAAAACAAATCTCGTGTATCATGTGGCACTTGCGCAAGCACATGAAAGAAAGAAAAACAGTACATGAGCAGGACAGAAGTATATTTTTTCTGTCTCTCAGATCTTGCTCACACTTCTCACTCATTGCTTGAATAGGCTATTCCCATTCCATATCTAAGCTTTATGGATAACAGAATAAACATATACTAGTAGCATCACTGCGTAGTACATATATTGATAATCAAACTCTATTTTTGTTAAGGTTTGAGATCGTAGGCGATGAAATTGTTTATAAAAAATGCAAATATGAAGTGTCCTCTCCATTCTTAATAATTTTATTTCTCCACCAATCACATCGTATTATCACTGTAAACACCGATACATAATCTAGCAAAACTTTAGCAACTCTTGAGTTTGTTTTGTTATAGATAAAAAGAGCAGTAGAACAAGTATTTATGTATATTAGTTTGATTGCGTTTCGATATTTATACTGCCAATATTGCAAATCTATAGTACATATAATGTAAAGTATGGATTTAGTACTGGCAGTGAATATCGAAACGCAGCCTTTGTATATGTATGTGAAAGGGAAACGAACAAATACGTAGAAAACAAAAATGGAAGTGAGACTATCTCAAGTAATTTTTTACGAGAAAATTGTATTTAAAATAGAAAATGGATAATTAAAGCCATTTAAATGGAAATGTATAATAGGTTTTGAAAAAATATATTTTTGTATTTTAAATATAAAATACAAAATAGGCATTTTACATTTTGCATTTCTATTTTAAATGCATCCATTTCAAATAATGCACATCTCTGAAAAATACACATGTATCAATGCAGATTAGAAAATGGAATGAAAGCAATAGCGATAAAATTTCCGACGAGTTGGAATTCTATTGCTTATTGCTATCACTATTCTCTCATTGTGCAAGAGGCTTTAGATAGATATCATAACTTAAGAAAATGCTGGACCTTCCTGTTTTACCAATCGGACATTACAATGCAATTTTTTCACTCTTGTGTCGTTTTCGCTTGCTCGTTCTTTTATCTAGACTGAGACGGATTATTGTTTCTTGTTCTTTCTATCCTTCATTAGATTCTGCTAACATAGATCAAACTATTCAATTCTTGTAGGCTTTCAACTGATGTGCTCGTGATCTCATTTTACATACTTGAATGTGTACTCTAGTGGTGTCTAGTATCAGAGAGAAGAATAAGAGCGGTCACAACTATAAGAAAACGTATAATTGCTTTTCGTGGACATGGTTCTATCCCGTGCTATATTTGTAGACATAGTTCTATTCCGTGCTATGAGAACATCGACGTGATGGGGATACGCACACAAGCGAAAACTGCCGTCCATGTGCGCTCGTGGAAGAGTGCATATTATGTTGATGTATGACGGCGGTTCTCGCTTGTGTGCGTATTCTCACCACGTCGGTGTTCTCATAGCACGGAATAGAACCACGAAAAGCGTTTACACATTTTCTTACGGCCGTGATCGCTCTCATTCTTCTTTCTGCTGTATCATTTTTTATATATACTTTTTATATTTGTGTATAACTTTTACATTTCAAGATTATGTGCAATTATTATTAAGGTTAGTAATTAGAAAAAAAATTTTTGTTTTTTAAATGTGTTTTGGCAGACTGCACTTACTTTTGTTATTCTCTTTAATTTGTAAAAGCATTTTTTATTTTGTTCAGTAGTTATGACAAATAGTTATTTTTAATAATGTCGTAATAATGTCATAATAATGTCGTAATAATGTTATAATAATGTCTTAATAATGTCATGTTAGATTAGGTCACTCCAGCATTTTCTTATAACTTACATTCTCTGTTGCAACAAAAATTACAATTTTGTCGTTATTACTCATTGTTTATGAACACGCACGCGTATCGGACGTAGCTTAGCAACCTAACATGCGCATTCTTAAACTTTGTGAACTTTGTAAAATTCTGCTGAAAGTATTTGCTTCTTAGATCACGAACATTTTCAGAACAGAAATCGAAACAATTATAATATGTTATTTTATGTATAAATTTAATGAGCTTATGATTGCGAACAATCAAGTTGCGATGATCAACAATGATCAAAATCTAATCAACGTAAACTAACAAAGTTTTACACATTTTGAAAAGATACGTAATTCATTCTGTAATTGTGTGTATACATATATGTTTATACGTACATAACTCTTATATTAATAAGTTATTTTTAGAATAACTCAATTGTTCTACTTTTTTTTTACTAATTATAAATTCTAAATTCTAGCGAGCTGCACTGTTTAATAAACTTTTTCTATATAAGGTATACAATTAACACAAGTACATATCGTACTATTATTTTTCTCGTACTATTATTTTTCAGTTAAATATACTAGTATTTTTCACTTAAATAACAGTATCTTTACAATAGCTTGGTGTTTTATTATAATCGAGTAAGATAACAATTACTGCTTAAACTGTTCTCACTAATTTATATTCATATCTTCACAACATATCTATAACTCGTATAATAACAGATATATTAAAAAATCGATATACATTTTACACATGTCATATCTATAACACAGGTTATACGCTACACGTGAATGCTTCATGAATTCGTAAGCAATCAATATCCGTCGCTACTTTATATTAAATAACATGAGAAAACTCTTCCAATGACAAATATTATAAAAAAGTAACATTATTTAAAATAACTTAGTTCTCACGATTGACTTATCTGGCCTTGTCAACTTCGTCTTTTTGCAAGATTGTATGTTGCACTACTCGACATTTTTAATCTTCACTAAGTTCCATTAGTTGGCGAAGATAACATTTTGTATGGTTTTTTTATATGATTGTGCACAGCGTTTTACAGACGACAGCAAAACGTTAAAAAGGTATACTTTGATTCTCTTTAGACCTCAATTGATATTCTATATACATATATATACAGGGTGTCCCAGAATTGGTGTAACATCTCTCGTAGACAGATAGAAGAAATAAAACTGAGAGTCGATAAGTCCTATATCATTTTGCTAGATTCGCAATAGTTACTGAGATTTTAATTAACAAAGATCCGCGAATAAGCATGCATCGGGCTGTCTTAAGAGCCGTCTACAATGGAGAGTTGTAGGCCGTAATAGTAAGAAATTGACCAATCACAGACAAAGTACAGAAGAATAATCGATTGTGATTTATCAATTTCTTACTGTTACGGCCTACAACTCTTCATTGTAGACGGCTTTTTACGCGCGTAATGCTGGGAATAGACTATGCATGTATTTGTGATTCGTGATTCGCGATTCTTAGCGATGCGCTACGTAGCTACGTAGTAGTCACGCGAATACACGCAAAAAGTGTGTTTGTATAATCGCGAATCACGAATACGCGCATAGTCTAGAAGTAGCATAAGACAGCCCAGTGCGCTTCGCGTGCTAACGGTGTTACCCATAGCGACATATGGAAGGAGCTAATATAACAGCATATACTGACATATACATATTAAAATGTAATTGTGCGAAGCGCGCCGGGCTGTCCTCCGCGCGTAAGACAGCCTGATGCACGCTTATTCGCGGATCTTTGTTAATTAAAATCTCAGTAACTATTGCGAATCTAGCAAAATGGTATAGAACTTTTCGACTCAGTTTTATTCTTTCTACCTGCCTACGAGAGATGTTAAACCAATTCTGGGACACCCTGTATATATATATATATATA